GTGTGGTTTAAGCACTCTATTGATGCAGCACAAAAATTGAAAACTCAAACTGTGCTAAGTATATTGCACATGTAAATATATCCATATCCATTCAAGTGAGAAAAAAATATTTTGTCCATAATTTTGTATCTGGAACCAAACATTTATAGCTTAGCTATCAAGGACAAATACCTAGAAGAGACAAGGCTGGGAGGTGGAGAATCATCGTGTGTTACTATACCAAATCTTTCCTATTAAATCTCAGAGTTTTGTCTATGTGATTTGGGGCTCAGGGAGACCTAATGAGTAAAAGGAATAGACCGTCTTCACAGCTTACTAGCTGCCAATGACATTTATTCACCTTCGCAAGCTCTGATGGCAGATGTGGCCTACAGATTTCAGCCAGAGATAGTCAAATACATGCTATTAAGTGCTGCCATTTCTGAATAAACACAATCATCTCCATTTCCTAGATGGAAATTGCTCAGCACTGGCCTAGGGTTCAACAATGAGTGAGGCTTGGAAATCAGGTAATGGGATCAAAGGCGTGGTGGGAACTCATACACTGAGAGGTTGAAAGATTATCATCTATACATATAAATTTTTATTGTTCCGATGAAGAAACTGACCTAAGACACACAGTTAACAGGTGGAGAACCAAGAGGAAAAGCCAGGTCTACAGACTCCTTATTCCATTTCCCCCCACAACAATACCCTACCTACACCTACAGGGTCAAGCCTAAGGTTCCTAATATCTACCTCAAATTGCTCACAAAAAAAGTGAATAGGGGAGGGGAAAAGAGCAGGGAGCTGCTCCATTTAAGGAAAAGGAAATCAAATTATCTGTGTTTACTTCACTAAAATTGATCAGCTGTTGAAGAGCAAGGAAGTAAGTTCATTTCTATATATTTTTTATTCCCATGAAATTACTCTGACCTCTTTTTGAAATGAACTCTTCTCTGCTTGTGCCCATAAAGTGAGGTGTATATATTAATAATTTTAGATTTAATGCACATAAAATTAAGCATACTGAAAATGGTTTAGTAAACTTTTACAGATAGGAAGCATTAAAAATTTTTTACCACTTACATGATTCATTAACTCAACTAAACATCTACAAAACGCTGCTTAGTAAATCCCTACTATAAAAACTTAATACTCCCAAACAAGAAGCAATCCTATAACACCTGGTTTCATTTTTAATAGTTGTGGAGAACTATTCCTATTTACAAGTGATAAAAACGTGATGGAGGCCTTCAATCTGAGACTGATGAAATGAATTCTGTTTGACTTGAGTGATTGTTGACCAAATGATTTCTAGCACTTCCTGTGCCTTCATCAGTGAACACTGTAGTGGGGTGAAGCAGCAGCTGTTGCCAAAATAGGCCTCATTTCCTCCAAATGCCGCTTCAAGGTATAGAACATGAAGGTGTAAGTACATCTGTCTTTTGCCATTTTAGTTCTATTGGCCTCATGCATGTCTTGGAGAAAGACAGATGGTCCGTGACACTGCGCAGGCATTCAGGGGTATATATTTCCAAAAATAAGAGGGCAGATGTGAAAGCTGGTAAGTACACGGTTGATACCCTAACAATTTGAATTGAGGCTGCTATCTCAATTCAGTTATTTAAATATAGGATCATAGGCAATCCGTAGAAATCTTTGTGCTAGAAATATAACTTTTTATTTGCTCCATGTCTAAGACATGGAACAATTTATTCTATTGACATGGAACAAATAAATGTTGATCTAACCTAAGGAAGTATATGACTTTTCTAGATAATGTAGAAAGTGCTGCGTTCTCTTTCTACATTATCGAAGTCAAATACTTCCTACTAATGTTATTTTTCACATGCTAGGAAAGGCACTTCATAGAAGCAGAGTTAGGAGGAAATTGACCCGGCCAGTGCTGCTCAGTTGGTTGAGCATCGTCCTAAGTATGCACCAAGAGGTTGTTGGTTCATCCGTTCCATTCCTGGTTAGAGTACATGCCCAGGTTGCCAGCTCACCCCCCAACTGGGGCATGCAGGAGGCAGCCAAATGATGTTTCTGTCTCTCTCCCACTCAATTCCTCTCTCTATAAAAGATCAATAAAAAACATGTTTTATTTTTTAAAGACTGAATTAGCCAGCTGGCATGGCACAGTGGTTGACCATTGGCCAGAAGGTCATGGTTCAATTCCCATTCAGGGCACATGCCAGGGTTGTGGACTCCATCCCCAGTGTGAGGTTGCAAGAGGCAGCCGATCAATGATTCTTTCTTGCCACTGATGTTCCTTTCCCTCTCCCCTCACTCTCTCTCTATCTCTTCTTTTTCTGAAATCAATAAAAACATATTTTTTTAAAAAGAGTAAATTAGAATTTCCACAATGAAAAGAGACCTGGAAAATGAAAAGCCCATTTGCTCATCACTCTGCTGACCTTAACGTGCAATCAAATTTCTCAGTAAGTACAACAAAATTGAATTGGAAATAATGCAAATTAGCTAAGTGCAGTATTGAGAACTGGTCATAGAAAAAAAATTTTAAATAAAACTAAAATAAAATAGAGCTTTTCAAATCTAATGAGATGAAATATAATATAAAATGTCTGGGATTTGTTTCAAATCTCTACATGTGTCCACAAATATAACCTTTGGTAAGGCAAATACATGTATTTCCATGTAAATGATAATGTTTAAATTATAAAATCACAAATTACATTCTGAAAATTCTATGACCAAATGTTCGGGTGAATTATAGTAAAAATTTTAAACTACTCATTATAAGAAATATTAATTATTCTCTCTAAATGCTTTTATAAAGGACATGCTAAAAATTCAAAAATTTTGCAGAAATAAAAGGTTTCATAATTGAGATAAAAAGTCTAGTAAATAAAAAAAAGTCTTGTAAATAATGATACTTGTATTTTTAATTCATTAATAATTATTATATTAATTATAATAAAAGAGAGTCCAATATACATGCTTTAAAAATGTAGGATTTGGGGGGGAATGGGGACATATATGTAAAAAATAAAATAATAAAAATAATATTACAAAAATGTAGGATTTGTAAACAACTTTTAAAAAAGAAAATAATACTAGACTTATGGGGTGATTATTTCATAAGTTACAAAAATGTCTAACTACTATGCTGGACACCTAAAATAATATAATACTGAATATCAACTGTAATTAAAAAAATAAAACATTTAAAATAAAAGAAAAGGAAACAAAATTAATCTAAGTTTATAAAATATGGTTGCATAGAAAAAGACTAGATAATTCATAATTTCACCCTAAGAACAGACAGAATGAAAAGGAGAGATTTTATTTGTTTTATGGAAATTTATAAATATATACAAAAGTAGGCTCATTTTCTACCCCTCCAACAAGTATTTTTGAATTAAATTCTAACATCATATGATTCATGCATATAATTACAGTCACTTTAGAGAAAGGAGTTTATCTGAAAGAGAGCTAAGTCTTTAAATTATATATATATATAAAAAAAAAAAGCATGTCTATTAAGTTTTAAAAATAACAAACATAGCCGAAACCGGTTTGGCTCAGTGGATAGAGCGTCAGCCACCAGACTGAAAGGTCCCGGGTTTGATGCCGGCAAGGTCATGTACCTTGGTTGCAGGCTCATCCCCGGAAGGGGGTGTGCAAGAGGCAGCTGATCGATGACTCTCATCGATGTATCGTATCTACCTCTCTACCTCTCTCCCTCTCTGTACAGAATCAATAAAATATATTTTAAAAAAATAAAATAAAATAACAAACATAAACACTAGAGAAAACTAAAATCAATTTCAAGAACAATAATTTTGAACAGGAAAGACCATCAAAACCTCCTAAGTAGTATTTATACAATGCTGATTTTGGACCTATGTTTGCTGTATTTTTTATTTTCCCCCCACTTCATAGGCAACAAACTCAACTTTATTACTGCATTGAGCAGAAGGATCATTTTATATACAAAAATGACTCTACTAAAGAGAGGGTCCATTTCAGTGTTATGATAAAATCTGGAGCTCAAAGTCCTGGTTCCTGAGAATGAGTAATTCTTCTCACAAAAATGACCTCCGGAAACATTTTACCACCTAGCAAACAATGTGAAGACAGCCAAATAATTAACCTCATCCTCTTGTGGGAAAGGCTCTGAAGAATATTTGAAGCCAAGAGAGGGTTTTTTCCTGACTAGCTGAATAATTTTTAGGCAGTTGTTCCATTTCAAATTTGGTTAAAGCCCAGAATTGCTTATTGTTGAAAATAGGTAATTTGCGTATAGAGATATATACTTTCAGATACAAATTAATTTCAAAGTGATTACAAAATTGAATATCTAATGATATCTTAGACACAACACTTTATTTTTCAAGAACAAAAAAATGTGATGATTTCTAGGAATTGTTTTAAATTTTTAAATAGCTAAAATATGCACAAAGATATGAATTAAGTGAATCATCAAGTCTTTGAGGATGTTAGCGACCAATCTTGAGTAAAGGCCAAATCTTAGGATTCTGGCTTTTGAAAACTACCCTTTGCTCCACACTGTCCTAACAGTAATGACAGATTATTATAGGTGAATTATACCTCAATATAGATATTTTTTTAAGAGTATTAGAAACATGGTTGTCATCTGAAGTTCTCATCTTAGTAGGTGTGTCTGTCAAAATTTGGAAGTCATTTTAAGTCCAGATCATGTCCACAAAAACAAGAAAATGAAACTGTACTTTCAGACAAAGCCACAAGGCAGCAAGTAAAAGACTAAGTAGCTAGATCTGGTTTTTATTAGCGAACACTCGTTTTCACAACTTGTCACTGTTTTGTTTTTTCTCTGAATGTGTGTGAACAGGGTTGTGTGCAAGTATATTTGTGCCTGTTCTATGCTTTGGACTTAACCTGCTGCCATTAAGTATCATATGGACTGGAAATGAAAAACATAATCAAAACCACCGAAACAAAAAGTATGTTTTCTTTTATGCATTCAATCCTCTAACACAGCTATTAAAAACGTGTCAAGCCTGAGGCCTTACCCTGTTCGTTTGGTGATGGTCCCCAACGTCATTGGCTGTTTGATTTGTGCAAGAGGCGTCAAGACCATCAAGCTGGGGAGAGGAGAGAGCCGAGGGTTGCCAGGGTTGTTGTTGGCAAAATTATTGTAGGAGTCTTGGCTGTTTAGTTTCCCTACAAAAAATAAGAATAAAGAAAAACATCACCAAGGTAAGTTTCCTTTTCTCATAGGTTTTAGTTTTACTAACTCTACTCATCACTGAAGAAAAATATCAAAGGCAGAATTCATTCTAAAAGAATCATGAGTATAAAGATGGGAGTTGGGGGAAACAAAGGACACTGGTTACACCAAGTGTGACTTACTTAGAAATAGAGACGTTAGTCATTGGGGTTAGAGGAATAGAGGATACCGAACCAGATAGATGTTAAAATGGTTATACCAATAATCAGTATGAAATTTAGTCATAATATTATGATGTTATAAAGAAATAGAGTAATGTTTAAGATATGCGATGTGAATTTTTAAAAATATTATAATAATGAAATGAAACAAATTAAAGCAGATAAAACAAAAATCTATAAAGTTTAAAAGAAGTTTATCACAATCTTAAAAATGTGGGTTTATCATTATTTTTCCTGTTTGTTTTTTTAACCAGTGGACTCAAAATATTACCTATAGTATCTATTATTCCAATACTATAGTACTGAACCATAAGCAAGGCAGGACCCATGATCTCTTTCATTTTTTCCATTTACCTGATATCCTGGCCTAATGATATGGCCTAAATTTATCAACTTAAATTTTGTTGAGCTGAAGTGTTATGGCAAATTGTAATGCTTTCTTATTATAAATAGAAATCACACATAGTCATTGAAAAGAAAGACCAGATAATAAGAAGGAAACATTCTGAAGAAGAACTACCTATTTGGACATTTATTGTTTCTCTATTATTTGTTATCACCTTCTTGCACCCTAGAACCACAAAATTCCAACAAGTTACAAAAGCTCATAGAAAAATGAGCATACAATACTAGTATAAAGGCAGAAATTATTTTTACATTATCAGTTCTCTTTTAGATACAGGCATATCGAATTATAAAAGTTAGATCATTTGCTATTCTGAATTTCCATAATGCTTTGAAATGCTATCATGTTGGGAATTAGGTTCCTAAACAACTGATGACTTCCAAAATAGACACTGCATGAATCCCTGCCCAAGCATGCACAGAACTCAATAAGAAGACATTTTAAATTTCAAAGCTTTTACAACCCCTGTTTAGTCACCTTTTTCTAAGGAGGCATCTCTGTAATAATAAATAATGGTTTTTCAGGGGGAGAGAGAGAGAGAGAATATTTAATTCCTTTCATTCCAAAGATCGTGGAAGAGAGAGATAAAGATGTGAGAGAAACACATTGATTGGTTGCCTCCTGAACATGCCCTGACTAGGGCCTTGGCCGGGGAGGAGCTGTAACAGAGGTACATGCCCTTGACCAGAACCCAACCCGGGACCCTTCAGTCTGCAGGTTGACGCTCTATCCACTGAGCCAAAGCAGCCAGGGTGAGATCACTGAACTTTAAAGATGGGCTAAGTCGTCTAGAAAAATGAACTGATTCACCAAGAAGCTCCAAATCTGTGGATCAGTTAGCCATGGCTTATCCTTCACTGGCTCACGAGGATAAAGAACAACCTCAGAATAGCATCAAAGGTACTTCAGACTTATCCCTCCCAGCCTGCTACTGTATTGTCAAGCAACACCCAAGTATTTATGGGATTTCACCCTTAGCATCTGTGTTTATTATGTAGCCTCTGAAATCCAGCTCTCATTGGACTTGGCTAAAAGAGTCAAGTAAGCCGGGGAGATTTTATGTTAAGAATAGAGGCAGTGTCTGTCTCCCATAGCAGTGCCCCCTTTCCTAGGGGTATACATTCCAAGACCCCCAGTGGATACCTGAACCGCAGACAGTACCAAACCCTACATACACTATGTCTTTTCCTATACATACATACCAATGATAAAGCTCAACTTATCAATTAAGCACAGTTAATAAGATAACAATAAAATGTAACAATTATAGCCATATATATTGTAACAGAAGTTAGTTGACAGTGGTCTCTTATTCCGGGTAAAGTGATTATTCACATCCCAGGCAGGACAAAGTGGGATAGTGTGAGATTTCAGCACAATGGTCAAAACAGCACACAATTTAAAACTTATAAACTCTTTCTGGATTTTTCCGTTTAATATTTTGGGACCACAGCTGACTGCAGGTAAGAGAAGTTACGGAAAGCAAAACTGCAGGTAAGGGAGCCTGCTGTATTCTACAGGTATGGAAGGTACTTAGTAAAAGCAGCTTTAAAGGAAGAATAAATGTTAATAAAATGGCGAGCAATGACAAGGTTCAGGAAGGCAAACTGAGAGAGAAAGCTAATCTTCCTTCGTTGTAGTTTCCGTGAAGAGATGAAACGCCAAATAGAAAGGGTTAAGTCAAGGGAACCTGATAAAAAATGGTATAAGTAATGGATGCAGAACACAGAGTTAAGAACTTTATGGCTAAAAAGAAGATATCGACATGATGAGATACTGTATCTGCAAAGGTTTCATTCAACGTTTCTTCTTTCACTTCATACTTTTGAGCCTATTGGTATAAGGTTCTGTTCTAATGCTGAATAAATAAGTCCAAGGGACTCCTAAAGAGTTTGTAACATAATGAGACAGAAAGATCTTATCTAATAGAAGAGTGATATGCAAATTGACCATCACTCCAACACACAAGATGGCTGCCCCAATGTGGTCAAAGATGGCCACCACAAGATGGCCAGCAATGAAGGGCAGTTGGAAGGGACCAGGCTTGCAGGGGAGGGCAGTTGGGGGCAATTGCCAGCAGGGGAGGGCAGTTGTGGGTGATCAAGCCTGCAGGGGAGGGCAGTTAAGGGCAAACAGGCTGGGGAAGCAGTTAGGCATCAATCAGGCTGGCAGGGAAGTGATTATGGGGAGATCAGTCTGGCAGGCAGAAGCAGGTAGGAGCAATCAGGAAGGCAGGCAGGTGAGCAGTTGGGAGCCAGCAGTCCTGGATTGTGAGAGAGATACCCAACTGCCTATTTAGGCGCAATCCTACCGGATCAGGCCTATACAGGCAGTTGGACATCCCTCAAGGGGTCCCAGATTGAAGAGGGTACAGACTAGCCTGAGGGACATCCCCCTCCCCATGCACGAAATTCGTGCTCCAGGCCTCTAGTTATTTATAAACCAAAAATTTTAAATGGAAGAAAACACGCTAATAAAGATGTCTGCAAAAGGTCTCAACAACAAAAAAAAGGAAGGAGATGTTTTTATTGTTGTTGTGTTAAAGGACAGCTTAAAAAAGTGTAGAAATGTTGAGCCCAGAGGAAAAAACTTGTGTCACCTTCCCTTTACTTTTCTAATAGGAAATTAGGGGATGAGAGATATGTGGGCAATTACATCAGGAATTAGGAAAATCAGGAAACTGGCTTAGATAAGAAATCTCATTAGCTGATGCATAATGATCTTCATGTTAAAAAAAAAAATACATTAAAACACATCAAATTTAAAAATGAAATTCATACTCAATAAATCAAATATACAAAAATAGTCTAAGAATTCTTTCTTCTTTTTGCTATTACTCAAAGTCTTTGGCTAAAAATTATTTTGCATTATCTTTTGTGACATAGACTTTCCTTGAAAATGTGGTGTGTGTGTGTGTATTCCCACATGCAAGTAGTACGGAAAAATTTAGCCCTGTGAGCTACAGAAAAAGAATTAATTTTGGAGGGAACTCAAAGGACTTCAGAAGATAGCCAGATGCAGGAATCCATAGCCTTCATTCTCTGCTTAGTCTCATGTTGACTAGGCTGGGAGCCTAGCCTTTGATAACTTTAAGAACAGATCTTCAGACACTTCCTATGGTTATAGCAAAGCTAAATTTCCAAGCCAGAATTTTTCTTTATGTTCTTAAAATAATGAGGTTCCCTAGCATCCCAAGGCTTGCATGTGATGAAGTCTGTCCCTCTGCTTGTCCCTCCCTTTGTTCAATTTCCCCTTGGACAAAGAGCAAGAGTAGTACCACTTCTTTGCTGCATCTCTCAGGCATATATATATATGCCTGAGAGATGCAGCAAAGAAGTGACAGTGAAATTAAAAAAATTTGAGATCAGTGAAGAGTCACTACACAAACTTTAAATGTAACCTTTGCTAACCATTCTTGACTAGAGAGATGCAGCAAAAAAGTGACAGTGAAATTAAAAAAATTTGAGATCAGTGAAGAGTCACTACACAAACTTTAAATGTAACCTTTGCTAACCATTCTTGACTAGACATTTTTCCCCCATTGTATAAGTACACTGAAAATAGCAGAAGTTGGTTAATTGTAGTTTTAGTAGAGGGATTCATAAAACCTTAAAATAGCTATTTCACACCCCATTATACTTTCAAATCCCAACTGGGACAAGACCTGTGAGTGACAAATGCCATGAGAATGGATATTCTCACAGTATTTCTGGCGCAGCCAGAGGAAGTCCCAAAAATCTCATGAGAAAATAAGCTCTTCTAAGACTCTCAGCCCAGTTTCCTGGGCTTGCTCTACACAGATAAACTTCCATAAGCCTTCGGGCTTTTGTGTCTTTATCCAAATCCACTAGAGCTTTGATCCTTGAGCGGTTTACCAGTCCCGGAGATAGAGGGAGTTGAGTTCCTTTGGGGGGCAAAAATTCCAAGTTCCACTCAAATTGCTTCTTAATACACGAAAGCAGCAGTTCTATTTAGGAATAGGAAATCATTGAAAAGTCAGAATTTATAAAGCATCCCTGGATGTTTAAAGCTAGGATACTTTGTTTTAGTTTGAATTGTTTGTTTATGTTATTATTGTTTTTAATGTTACAACAAAGCACTAAACCAAAACAGGTCACATTGGGGTTTAACCACTGACTCTCTGTATTTACTTGAACAAGACTGCATTTTTGAAAAATGAAAACAGCCTTTTGTGCTTTTCAAAAAAAAAAAAATTATTCTACCTTTTTGATGAAGAATGCCTACAGATACCTTATATGGTAGGGCAAAAGTAACTCTCAACCAGAATATTAATACAGAGTACCGCCGTCTGTCTGTGATGTCGAACAGGGTATGGCCTGTTTACTAAAAGTTAGAGTAACTCCAA